GGCGCCATTGCAGCATCTTCCGGCATGAAGGTCAAAAACTCCTTCTTATTATCCCATTCCCAAGTTTTCTTCAGACTCCTCTAGGCTTCTGCCTTCGGTAATAGGAATGTCGGCCTTCCATTTCCCTACACAAGCACCGCAAGCTAGGTAAGTAACGGGGACGTGGAGAGGTGCGGCAAGCGGGTGGGACTTACCGTCTTCCGTGAAGAACTCTGGGCTTCGCAACCCTCGCTGAACTAGATCGAGGGGAGGTGGGCCCAGCAACTCGATAACCTCAGCAAGATGCGCCCGAGTGGTGTAATACTTCTTCTCCCGATCGTATCCGTAGAACATATGTTTGCCCTGAAACACGTCCCAAATCTGGCATTGCGGTTAGAGATGTTTGGGCATCGAAAGAAGCGACTGAAGACACAAACATACCATGGCCCCGACATTCCAGATGTCGATGGGATAACTCCAGTCCATTTCCAGCATAACCTCGGGTGACCTGTAAACATCCGGCTGGCAGTCGTAATTCCTTTTCTCATCGCCATAGACAGCCGAGCCAAAATCACTCAGAACGACGCCGCCGAACACCTTTGGCAAGTCAAAACCGCGTGACTCGTACACAGGCACGCCGTTGACGAATTTTCTCCTCGATGGGGTTTTTAGCTCGGCGGTGGTAAAAGCTTCAAGAATCTGCTCATCGGCGATTCCAATGCAGAATGTTATCGGCTTTGATGTCTATTTTATTCTCATTATCAGCCCGAGATAACTCGGCAAGAGCATGTATCTGGCCTCACCCGTGTGGACCAACCCTGCATTCAGTGTGTAGGTAATCCAAGGGCGAATAGGAGCCTGTTGAAGTGAGGTTTTGAGTAGAATCTCGGTGTATCCTTCCGGCTGAGTTGCGATGCAGAAAGGTCCTTCCAGCTATCCCACATGGGCATCTGGACAAGACATTGATGGTCACTCCCCTTGGCGCGAGAGCGTGAACAGATCCAGTGCAGTTCGAACGTGATGACGGCCGGGATGATGGGAAGTGGCTGTTTTACGTATCCTCTCATAGATCTCAAACTCGTCCGCGCTGCGCCCATCTCGAGTGAATACTTTTAACGCAACGTGCTTGTGCTTTCTGAGTCTATTATTTAGTTCTCGTTTCCCTTACCGGACAGAAGACCTACGTACTCGAGATTGCGAGCAAGCCACACAGTAGAAGTGGTTCCGAAGCCGAGTTTTCCGAGCACTTGGTACTTAGAAGCGTACACATCCCCCAATTTGTACAGGATAGTACTGGCCTGCCGCAAACTCAGTGAACCGTTCTTCTTCCAGTATCTCGGAGTTATCGACGACCTGAAAGCCGGCCGTTGGAAAACTCAAGGGTGTCAATGGGGCTCTGCGCAGGAGTTGTTTGGTCCATTATGATGAGTGACGACATGGTTGCGGCTCGGCCAGGGGCATGAAAGATGATCCAGATGGGAGGCCTGAAGCTTGGAAGAACCAACGGCTGTGCTATGACAGGGGGGGTTAGGAGTCGCTACCTAGACCGGTCACGTGTTTGCTTGCCTTGCCCGTTCCTTTTTTTTTTTTTTTTCCTAACTTGGTTCTGCTTTATAAAGGTTTTGCGGGCGTGTGAATTTTGACCCTCAAAAATGCTTGGTGATGTTCCATGTCCATAGGTATCATTAAAAAGAGAAAAAGGCTCGCTCCCAGTGCCACTACCTTCCTCTAGATCATTGTTTTTTTGGGGAATATATGCCTCTGGGACTTAATTTAGTAACATCACATACCTTTGTCTTTTATAAATCTCTATGGTATTCACCGAGTTGCAACAAAAAGGAAACCCACAACTTTGAGTTGAACTGATGGATATACCCGGGATCGAACCGGGGACCTTTCACAATGGCATACTCTAATATGCGAAGCGAAAATCATACCACTAGACCATATACCCAATTGATGGTTGTCGAGGGCGTGCAAAGGCATTGCTACAGAGGTGCGTAGGCCCGCAGACCTTGGGGGAGTTACCAGTCATTGACTACGGCACCAATTGAACAAACTGGGTACTTGTGTTGGAAGGTAGACCAGGAGGTCTGAGCACAGGAGGGTCAATGGGTCAAGGCCCAGAACGTGGTGGCAAGAGATCGGTCGGCTTAGGCCGGAGAGATCACTCGGCTTAAGGCCAGGTGCGGTTGCATGCGGTGCCACCATCGCTGCTCAGAGAGAGATATCACGAGTTTGGAATCCCCTTACAGAAGGAAGAGGGAAAAAAGGACAATTGATTTTGGCAGAGTCTCATAGCCTCCTAGGCTCATCCGTGTGAATTCCTATCTTCCTGTGTGTGTGACACCTTGGATCAGTGGCTGTTGGTCTTCCAACACTATCACCTAGTTCAAGTTAAGGGGAAGATCCTAGGAGTACCTA